TGCTGGTGTAGTTGCAAGTAGTAGTAGTAGTTGTTGTTGTTGTTCTTCTTCTTCTTCTTCTTCTTCTTCTTCTTCTTCTTCTTCTTCTGGTCGTCGCTCTTCTTTTTCTTGATTTCTTTTTCTTCTTCCTTAACTTCCACAAAGGTCACACAAACTTCACTCTTAAAAGCAAATAAAAAAGCGGATGTTATGTTATAAAACATAGAGTATAAAAATAGCTTCAGCTGACATCATTCAATTATTTTGCCCTAAAAAACTGAGCATCATATTCCTAAATCACGCAAGAAAGTTTATTCTCAAATGTGGGATCATTTCAGCATCTTTTACTAATAGTTTACCAGTCGATATTATATCCTACGCTTCGATCAGACTTTCCCAATCAAGTCCTCCAAAGCAGGCTCATAATTCCCAAGGGTTACAGAGGTTATCTACTATGGGGAAATCTAAAGACGAAATCATAATGTCTTATCAGACTGCAAGGTATTCTGGCTATCCACAAGCGGTTGTATTCCTCGATTAGAGGCAAGCGCGTCAGACAGCGCCACAAAACGATTGATGCGCTGATAGTAGATCTTCAGTAGAGAATAGCAACGATATATGACTATTTAATTACCTTGGAGGATCGTGGCTTACTTCAACTATCGTAAGGTTTGTTGCTAAACTAATTGCTCGTATTAGTATTGCAAACTAGATGCTAAATTAATTGCTCATATTGGTATTGCAAATTTTGACTAGAAATAATTATTCCACATATGACTATTCATTTCTATCATGTAAGTTCTTTTTCTAGTATCATTTGTAATGACTTCTTGTGGTGCGCATTCGAACTTATGGCACAAAAAATGTCTGTAGTTTTCCGGATTACTTTTTCATAATTTATTGCCTAAAAGTTTATTTATATTTGTGTTTTACATGAGTTATTTGCGTGATATGTGGATGGCTTTGCCAATTAAACAGTGTTCAGGGTTTCACGATCGATACTATACTAGATGAGCACGCAAAGCACCGTACGCCTTACGCCTGCTCATTGTGTCAGTCGCTACCCATGTATATATGTTACAACATCTACAAACACGGTCGGCGCATAGACAAAATATTATATTTGGTACAAACCGTATGAGTTAACTTTTACGGCAAAGTTTTGGGGGTGTCGTTGAGCATGTTTGGAGGCRCAATGTCGTATGTATTTTATCTTCAATGCTCAGTGAATTCGCCTTGAACAAACTAAAAGGCGTTGAGACCGCCGAGCCACATCTGGAGCTACATCACTACTTCGAAGTAATAATTAGTTACAGTCCAATTACACTAATCCTGTGCTTTTTCTCGGCTTTATTAATTTGCATGTTTTGGACAGTATTTCTACCTAGTTCTGATTCACATTCCAATTGATTGCTTGAACTTTAATCTTTGATGAAGAAAATTCCACTGAAAAACTGATAGTTTGAAGGCATTGAAGCATCGCACTTGGAAGAATGCTGTTATCAAGTCTTCCTATCAGGATTAAGTGGCTTCCAGTCATGAATCTCGGAATGAAATCCAAGACCTCCTAGTACACTAGGTACTTTCAATTTTATGATCGTCACTCCTTTGAGTAAAACAACCATAAGAGTAGCACTAATTCATTATACAATTTGGAAATGCACAAAGAACCTTTTCTCGCGTAAAACTATCAATATTCTGTTGCATTATAGATCATTATACTTTTTCCTGTTTTATAGCTTTGGATAAGCCAGATTTCTCCAACCTGATAACGCTTTCCCCAATGGCCAGTGTCAATGTTTTGAATTCATTAGTGAAACATTAATGACCATTTGCTGAGTTATACTGACAGGCATATCAATATTTATCAAATATCAGTTTTATTTATGCAGCGTATTAGCAGTTATTATGCCCTACGACCTTGCAAGCGGGTGGACCCGCTCTACAGTTTGAAAAATATTTCCAAAATTAACAAAAAACAAGCTGGATCAATAAAGTTTTGTTGTTGGTTTGTGTGGATAGAAAACACCAAGGAAGTTTGGGTCAATGGTTGCCATTAACACTCACTGTTGAGGTCAAGGTAACACTCTTGGGCCTTTCAAGATGATATTACCGAGGTCACAGAAGTTGTAGAGGAAATGTATCTCAAAAACAGTTGATGTTGAAATTGTGGTATGTTCTTCCTGTACGAGCCCTAAAGGTATCCACAATAACGATAAGGTCACAAGAACTGTAGAGAAGCCACAACACAAATCAAAAACAAATTTGTATGGCTAATTCTTGTTCGTTGTCGGTCGTTTAGTGCGTAGCGGCCCTAAGATGGTAGGATTTCGTGTTAGAAGATGCCATGTCGGTGAGATGACGGATTGGTTTTCTATTCTAGCTACGGCTGCATCAAAGTAATTAAAGGCCAACAGTTGACTACTGAGAAGGTAGCCTGAAGGCATTTTCCCGTCTGCATGACGCTCATCTTGAAGTGAGCTATTAACACCAATTCAGACGACCTTCGCGCAATTGACTATGCCTCTAGCAGCAAATGAACCTCTCGCCTCTGGGGTCCCGCATTCGATTCCCAGATTCAGATCCTATGTGAGTAGGGTTTGTTAGATCTCTCTTCCTTGATTTGGGAGTCTATATGTGACACGTACCGGAACACCAAAAGAGGAGCACGTGTAGCTCAGTTGGCCCGTGGCAGTATAGGTTCCCGGTTCGATCATCAGGCTCTCCACGTCTGCTTTTTCGACCTTTCCCTACTTTTCTCTGTGTAGCCTAAGCTTCGAATACTCTTTAAAAACAGAGCACTGATGGAGAGAGGGTAGCCATCGGCTTCCTGGGACATCATTCAACTACCCACGTTCAGTTAAACATAGAAACTTTAAATTTACTTTTAGACAATATTCAGTTTTTCGTCAGCCCCCGGCTTTCAGATCATAAAGCAGACATTGATGTATGCACAATGCTATGATTAATGAAGGGTAATAATCAATCTCTAACTGATATTCGTACGGGGGGTTGATATGCCATAGTATTTAGTGCAAATCGTAGACGTACAATTTAACCCCAAGTCACCCCAAGTAATTATAAGTAAGCCTTAATGGTACTGATTTAATTCCCTGAGATACTAGCCATGGATGCTGATTATCAATGCGTGACACAAAGGAGACTTCGGGCTTTAATCAAACTACTAAGTGGTTAGCTTGTACGTAGAAGGGACCTTTAACTTGCACTTTTGCAAACTTAACTTGTTGTCGCAATTAATTGTGGCTCAAAAGTCTTCCAGACTTGACAGTACAGGACATGCCAAGTGCGATTTTTGACTGTGACGTCCTCAATTCTGAATGTCTGTCTCTTCCCACCTACTTATTTGATTTGTGCCATGAGCAAGGATTAGCTAGGCAGATACTGATCCGCTACTTGCAGTTAAACCATCCAGCTAAAGCTTTGGAAGCACCCACAAGACAAAGCTAAACTAAAAAATTAACTTTTGCTTTTCAAATGGCAGTAAAAAGGGTATCTTTTCCCATTTTTTGTGTCTCTCTAATGCCGTCTAAGTTTGAAAGGTTCTTAATAAAGCATCTTCTTTTATGGCTTTCCGGCGCGGGGATTTGAGGGGAGCCGGGACTCCCAAATCCCCCCACACTGGAAGGCCGTTTCGAAGGCTATAAATAAAGCATCTTTCACGGCCAATAGAATCGTTTTGGTTGCAAAATGGGACAACATCGGGTCTAGCTAAATGGGTCTATTGTTTATACAATGTTCAAGGGAAATGGTCATGTGGTCTGAAATGGGACAACGTTGAACCAAGATAATTGTGTCTATTTATAATACAATACTCAAAGGAAATGTCAAATGATCTGGAATGAGACAACATTGAGCCAAGCTGAATGGGTCGTGTATAGGTTAAACATGCAGTGCTCATCGGAATGGTCATTATGGTGTACCAGCGATTGCTGTCATGTTTTGTACAAGAAATGGGGCAGCATTGAATGGGTCTATTTATGACATCAACTCCTTTACGACTAACCAACGTTGATATTTTAGATAAGGGGCTCATCGGCAGACAAACCTTCTTAAGAGATTAACCAATTATCTTTAATGGATATATTAAACGGATAGACTTAGGGACAGAGTGACGGCCGGAGTTACTCAGTTTAACAAAAGGCTAATGATCGGTCAGTACCATCCGGATCTAATAGAATCCTAGGATAAAATGTATTCATTGTTTAAGAGACTACAGCTTTGGCCGTATCAGTTACTTTAAGCTTTCAATGAAAGAAGTTGCATCACCAAGTCTTTGTCGATCAAGATCTGCTGCTGAGGGATATATATATATCTAGCTGTCCCGAACTAAATTCAACAAATTTCCCTTTACAAATTAATGGCCATCGTAGTGCAGTGACGCTTAGCAACTGAATCTAAATATTTGGAAAAGAATAGAGAAGAAAACTATAAGTGCATGGTAACTCGAAAGTAGGAGGTAAGATCTTAAATTCTAGCTAGACTTAAATAGCAAATAAACTGATAACTTAACTAGTGGTTACTAGTTGGGACTACGTTGGTGTGTCAAATTCAAAAAGTGAATAAGACAAGGACGACAAGGAGACTTTGATAACATGCATCATATAAAAAAAGTTTGCAACTCTACCAATCATTGTTAATTTTGGTCGTCGTTAGTCCTTCAGATTACTGCAATTCTTATAAAAATGCGAACTCTGTGTCTGCTAGCTGCACGTTGAAATTTGTTTTTTCGCTGCTGTCAATCAAACCTAAACAGTCGGTACCTTTCATATTTTTGACAGTGGCAGCAGCAAAAAAACAAATTTCAGCGTGCAACTCGGAGAAACAGAGTTCCAAAAAAGAAAATCAACATTAGCGAGGAAGAGGAAATAACAGGTTGAACAGAGAAGACCAAATAATTAAAATACTCTATCCATAATTGTCGAGGAACATGGTAAAATGGAATAACTGATTTTAGCGCCAAGAACATTTATTAATTTCGTAGCCCTTAGTGATGGTAGCCACTGATAAATTCGTAACCCTATGAAAATGATTTGGACCTATGCCTACACTTTCATTTTCTAATTGATCACTAATTTCCTATAATGATTGCCTAGGCATTTYCTGAAGTCAATTGTCCTAGATCCAGTTATTACGCCTGCATAAGTGGCTAATTTTAAACTCGCGTCGTCCGTCAATGCCTTCAGTTTACGGCAGATTTATGGAGGACCAAGTGATTACCAAATTAAATACCTACATCACTAATAAATCTGTAAAAGAACACCTTGCCATTAATGGGGACCTTGTTTTCCAATAGTACAAATTAGTGCACTCAAGGTAATCAATGATGTTGGGCAGATGGGGCCGGAGAGGACGTTGGCCGCTTAAAATATTGATTCTGACGGATGGGGCTAATCGGGGCAGACTTCATTCATTATCTGATGCGTTCTAACTCTTTATCTTCATTAACTCCGATTATAAACAGGTTTCGTCTTTTGCATAAAATGAATCCCGTTCGACTACTTAGGTCTTCTTCTTCGTCTAATCTTTCTAAACCTTCAATAGTCCCCTTCAAAGTTCCCTGCGCCATCTTGGAAGGTAGAGGAGCCTTGAATTGGTATCGAAGTGAGACGAACGATGAGCTTGCAACGATAGAGACCTTTTTTTAGCAA